ATTCATTGCTTATTATTCAAATAATATCAGGTGAAGGGGAGTCTAACTATATAAATATTATTTCTGCCATCATGCAAATGCATTGTCCAATGTAGTAAATGACCAGAACATATTTTACTAGCTATTCAACTTAACTAGAACGGATGCTATCACCAATGTTTCCAATGTCTTTTCTCACAAAGATAATACAGAACAGGGATGAGTAACCTATACCCTTCTGGGAGAAGCAAAATTGAGGAAAGTCCACAGATTCATCTACTTGGTTTATGCCAAAAGAGGAAAGATGGAAAGAGAGAATAAAAGAAAAGTAGGAAAAGAAACTGAGATCATCGATGCAGGGAAGTTGGGACACGGTATCAATCCTGCCGTGAGTAGGACAGTTTATCCTTGCCCTGTGCCCTGTTTCAACCCAGCCAGAGCACCAAGTGCTGAAGTTTGAGACAGTGTCTATCCCATGGGGGGAAGGACAATCTGCCATTGCCCTGTGCCCTGTTTCAACCCAGCCAGAGCACCGAGGGCTGAAGTTTAACACAGAGTCTACCCTATGAGGGGCAAATGGTTTATCATCACCCTCTGCCCTGTCCCAACCCACCCAGAGCACCAAGTGCTGAAGTTTGACATGGTGTCTACCCTATGATGGGGCAGATGGTTTATCTTTGCCCTCCGCCCTGTCTCAACCCACCCAAGTACTGAGATTTGACAGGACTGCCGAAGAAGAATGAGAAAGCACAGAGGACGCAGTAAACGTCACAAGGCACAGCTCTGGCTTGATCACTCCCCTCACATCGTACAGATGCACATCTTACTCGAGTGATGGAATTTCAACTTTTTATTGCAGCAACACAAACAAGACCTCAGAGAAGCTGCTTGGCCAGTCATGGGCCCTTGGCCAACCTTTCCTGAGAAGGCTCTGCCCTCTGACTCACTGTCAGTAAAGCTGCAGGCCTCGTGTCTGTCCTGCCTGGTGAGGAACAATGAAGATGACCGTCGATCAATGTCAAGTGTGAACTAACTTGGGAAAGGTCAGCTACAAATGCCAAGTTACTAATAAAATTCAGTGATGCTCAGCACTGGCAAAAGCCTGCCGATCTCTAATTGCAATAACAAGCCAAGGGCCAGTTTTCAGTTTTCCATTTGATTGCTATTGAGTTCTTCCTAATGTCATATGGCTATAATAAAATTATATACATATATATATATATATATATATATATATATAGAGAGAGAGAGAGAGAGAGAGAGAGAGAGAGAGAGAGAGAGAGACAAACACACTTTGACACATTTTTGTCAAGCCAATAGAGGCATACTGATGAGAAAAAACATTTGCCCTCCTTGCTTTATTACCAAATTAACAATTAAGTGCTTCTTTATTTCGACAGTGATTTTATAACTTTTGATATTTAGTGGTTGCGGAGAAAGAAAGGCTTGGAGAGAAAATTGGTGATCTCTTCGTTCTTAGGAACAATACTGAACACTGCAATGAAAAGCTAGAGACAGTGTTTTCAAGGTGATGACAATTCCTAGCTAGGCATATCTCCTAAATAGGTCCCGTCCTCCACTCCACTGTCATCAGCCTGTTGCGCTGTCGTTTCTGCAACGCCAGCCACCCTTCTGCCACATGCCCTCCCCCCGCCAGTCACTCACTCGTCATCTCTGCCCCAGACCAGGACTCCCACACTACACTCCAGGCCTCACAGTGGCCTCAGACCACCTCGAGTTATCGCTGACCTGTGTGGCTTCCGCTCCACCAGCGTCAGCCAGTAGCTCCCCCCCCGGGAAGGCTGGAGGCCAGCAGCGAGGTGCCGTGAGGGAGGGACAGGCTTGAGGATTGTGAGCATGAAGGGGAGCTGAGTCGCCGCAGCCAGCCCAGGGTGGGGCAGGGGGAGACACACGGGGCCAGGGACGTTCTTGCTCCTCATCTGGTGTGGCTTCTGTTTCGTCTGCGTTTTGTTTGTTTGCTTGTTTCTAGCCAGGGCAGTTTCTCTTCATTCAGAGCAAACAGCAACGACAGCAGCATCCTGCTGCCATTGGAGAACCATGGTTTTTAACGACTTACCATGACAGAGAAGCTGGTTTCCAAACACTGTTCAAAGGGCGGAAGAAGTACTTAGGCGCTTCAGGCTGGGGGCGAGTTCTTGTCATCCTTGTCCGTGTCATTGGCTCAGTTCCGGGCATCCAGGATCCGCTGAGCTTGCTACTATTACTTGTGAGTAAATCGCTCCAGATTCACCGCAAACATCTCTGGCATGCATGGGCACCTCTTCTGCAGGCAAATCATTGCTCTGTCCACATGGCTCAGCTGGGGCTTGTCTTACAACGAGCGCGTGTGAGCGTGCGTGTGTGTGGCACAGGGTGGTGCCTATAGTCTGGTCTCCACCTCCTCTCCCGTGAACACCCGGGTCAGAGATCAGATTGCCTCTATCACCCGCATATTTGTCTCCCTATCTGCTGCTTACCTTCCTAGTATCTCTTCTGTTCTTTGAACAATGTTTGGAGACCAAGGTCTCTATCATGGTATGGCAGAAACAACCACAACCAAAACTATAGACCACCACAGGCTGTACAACTGCATAATCTTTGACAGTCAGAAATAAAACTCAAAGGACTAAAGTAAGTTCTAAAGCTTTCATGACTTTTATATCAAGAAAACTTTAAGTCTGAATGATGAAGGTTTCAAGTTAAAGTATTAAAAATTATATAGAAGTTCTAATCTGTGAAATACCTAATGTTAATATCATGAGTGGTAGAGTATAATCCGTGCTCCATAATTTTTCCTTTTCAGTTTCGTAAGGTTTACACAAAACCAATTTGCAGAAAACGCCAAAGTAAAAAGAATACAAATCGATTAATTTTTATTTGCTCTTGCCATAATGACTTTAAATATGTTTTTATTCTAAACAATTGAAATAATATCTTTCAAGTGTTAGCTTTTAACAAACTGAGTTCAAAGATTAAGAAAATTAAATTTTGTGGTCAGTATTACCGACTGGTTAAGACCTAAGTTCTATTTTTAGTAAGAATGATGGGTTTTTTTGAGCAAATACAAAGTACTAAAGACAAATAAGAAGACAGATAAGGACCCAAAGGTGAATAGGAGATATATATATATACATATGTATATATATATATATGTATATATATATATACATACATACAGTCAAAATATGTATTTTTCACCAATCTAAAATAGCAGATTTTTAGAAAAATTTTAAAGGATGTCTAATATCATGCATTTTGACTGATGATTAAAAAACAGTTTTCAAAACCCAAATTTGTAGACATAATTTTGTCTTTCATCTCGTAACATTCCCAATGTGCTTCACAAAATAAAAGTGTAGGTATCAACATGTATTATTTCACTTATCAAATGAATAGTTTCAATTCTACTCTTGGGTAATAAAATCCAGTGAGAAGTTTAGCCTTTACGGTGATTGAATTAGTTTTATTTCAAGGAGCAATAGGCGTCATAGAGTCTGCACTTTTAAAGTAGACTCAATGGGAGGAAAAAAAGGAAAGAAAGCCTTCCAAACGCCCCCAGACTCTCCTGTGACGTAAGGTGAGACTCCAAGCTTCATGGTCAACTCTCTCTTCCCGTTTCGCATGTTCTCCCCCGCCTTCTCTGACTGTAGCCTTCAAAATGCAGATGTCTAAGTGGTGATCATATTTTCTTGTGGAACACACATCTTGAGTGTTCCTGGGATTCATGGTAACACTGACGCATTTATATCGGCAATGAAAGTTAAGATCATATACGGAGTTGCACTTGTTTTAAGTCAGAGAAAGAGGAAAGAAGGCATGCTCTTAGTCTCCTACTTCAAATGTGAACTTTTTTTAAAAAAAGGTAAAATAATAACCTTGGGTATATGTACAGACATTACCGTCTAGAGAGACAGACGAAGCCCTTTGGAGGGAGAGAAAGAGAGAAAAAAATATGCATGGGTATAATGTATCTGCAGCGAAGGCAAGTAAATGTATTTAACACACCATGAAGAAAAGGCAAATGATGTGACTGGAAGGAAGCAAATGCTGGACACAGGAAGTTCTACTTAGAAACACTGATCTGAAGACCTCAAAGACAGCAGTTCTGGGAAAAGAAGAAGATCTGCAACCATGTACGTGCGGCGTTTTTAGAATCAAGACAGGAAATGAAAGCATTATTTAAATAAAGAAAAATATTTTAAAGTCATGATATTTCCAAGTAAAGAATAACTTGTGAAAAGAAAAGTGGCCTGTATTTTTAGGTTACATAAAGTCCCCGTCAAAATAAATAATGACCTGGGAATTAAAAGGAAGGCGGAATGTCAAGAATTATTAAAGTAGAAAAAGAGACTGAGCGTGAGAGCTTTCACCTGCTTTTTTTGGAATGAGAGAATAAAAAGTATCCGTGTCTTTGTTTTGAAAATCAATCAGCGCTTAGATAACAGAGGAAACAAGCTCATCCTTGGGAGAGGCTTGGGAAAGAGTAAGCAAACGGTCACATTTGAAGGCCCTCCCGGGAGATGCGGCCGCCTCGGAAGGTTGTGCAACAGAGGGTGCACTGGCTCGCACCCCTCCCTTGCGTCAGTCCCAAGCTTCCACCACAGCTGATGACGGAAGTTCTGCCCACACCCAGGTCTCCACCATGATGCCACTGGGGCGGCCTCCGGGGCGGCCTGCACAGCCAGGCATCAAGTCATCGGAGACCGGGAGGGGCGCCGGAGAAGGCGGCCTGAGTCCCCCGCCAGCCCTTCTCGGGAGCTGCTCTGAGGTCGCCGGGCTGTGGACACCGGCTCTCAAGCCAACAGCCGCGTGGTCAGCGAAGGCTGCTCGCGTGGCTGCGGAGGACGGAGGCCCTCGAAGGCCAGGTGTCCGCCCGCTACGCGCCGGCCTGCAGCGACCGGCGAAGAGCACACAGGCAGCACGACCACGAGGAGACACGGCCAACAGGGCGGTGGGGACAGGGAAACGACAGAGCGGGGTGACGGCAGAAGCGACACGGGCAGGCGCCTGGCAGTGTTTACCCGTTTTCCGTCTGCTCATAATGCTCCAGCTCCGTCCCCGGGAGGGGCTGCACGGGGGGAGGAGGCAGCGGGACGTTGGCCCAGGTCGATCCGTTGTTCTTCTGTGCTTTGGAGGAGTTTTTGTTCTTCTTCTTTTTTCCGCCTTTCCCACCTGAAAGGGACAAGGCGGTCATTCAGAGACGCGGCACCAGAGGGGACGGCACCGGGGAGGCGGGTGTGGCTCCACACTCCGGGAGGTGGGAGAGCAGACCCCCATGCAGGGCCGTGACAGGGCCAGGAAGACATCTGCAGGTCCCCCAACGTGACGCTGGCTCCTTCCCCGGGGCTGGCCACCCCAAACCACCCAAGCACGCAGCTGCCTGGAAAGCACATGTATGGACCGACTCGTTCCCCATTGTTACACGAAATAATGGGCCGGAACACGTTCTTCTAAATGTCAGATTTCAGTGCATTTATAATGCTGTTTTGCATAATCTCTCTCAGTGGAAAATGCAGTGTCTGAGACACAGGCTAAATTTCTCCATTAGAATTTGCTCAATTTAATTAATCCAGGAGAGCAACGTTTTTCTCTCAAAAGTCACGGATAAAAATCAATCAACTACAATCTGGAGAATACTTGTAAATCTTCCACAAGGATGCATTTTATAGACTTTTTAACCCTTGCCTAGCACAGTTATTTCTGCATATGGTGAAAAGAGTTCTCAGCTGGTGTAAGCATTGCATAAAATTCCAAAAAGGGAAAAAAGTGAATCCTGCAATCACTTCCAGGACTACAGTGATACGAACACGGCAGCAAGGGAGCAGAAGGTGCGCCAGCAGCCCTGAGCCATGGCTGGGATTACAGGGAGCTTCGTGAAACAGAAAGCAGCAACTGTCAGGGGCAAAGGGCTGTGCTCATTTTAGACTAGCTAAAACATCTTCTTAAAAACAGGACTGCCGTGGATGAAGGAATGAGCCCTTCTTAGCAGAACAGCAAAGGACGTTTCAGGAGACCTAAGCACCTCCTGTCACCCACCTCCCCCCAGTTGTCGCAGCCAAAGCAGCATCTGCAAAGCGTGGGATTGACCTTGGCACACCATCTTTCTGGAAGTAAAATCCATGGGCATTGGCAGCAGGGCTGTTTAGTGAGATAGAAATCAGTAGAAGCCCACCATCTGCATCGGCCAAATCAGAATGTTATGCCATTTAATCGTAAATTAAATGATGAGTACCCGAAAATGGCAGAACTGACCAAGTAGACACACACTCTCTCGCCGGTGCTAAAACGGTATGTTCTCTACAGCGTGAGCACACACATGTGAAGAGCATCCCTGCAATCACATTGGTCCCCTCCTCTTAGGTAGGATGAAGGTGCGAAGCAGAGAGCAGACACCTTCTGCTGGGAGGACTTGCATCCCACCCGGGCTCCACCGGTTAGCAAAAGGGAGCACCTCAACTGCCACCCACAGGAGCCAGCGCTGAAGGTGCTACTTCCTTGTGTCACAGGGAGGATCACAGGAGACAATGCACAGACAGTGCTCAGAATGCCCAGAACGTTCCAGAAACTTCCCTCCTTTATGTGCTGTCCCACATAAAGGAGGGGCATTTCTTTGTCTTAGTGCAAACCCGGCTTCTGTGGTTTCTAGAGCTCCCTCGGCTCCCAACTTCTACAGGCACCATGGGGAACCTGGAACAAGTTGACTTCTCAAAATAAGAATGATGAACTTGCTTGAACACAAGCCTGTCATGCTTGTCTCTTGGGTACTTGGGCCCTAGCCCTTTGCTTTCTGATGACTCACGGAAATCGTGAACAAGGCCCCTCTCTTTTCCTGTGGCTCAGAACTCCCTGCCAGCGATCACACCAAGAGTGCGCTGAGCTGCGGGCCCTTCATCGCATCTCCATAGCTGTGCCCCTTTCTCTACCCCTTAGTTTCATACAGGGGTACAGTCCTGCTCACTTTCCACAGCACTTTGAGAAGCGTGGGGGATCACCTCCAGGACCGAGTGACAGCACCGGGGAAGGCCTTGCGTCTCCACGTTACAGGGAAGACACCGAGGCTCCTCCGGGTGTGAAGCGCTCCGTGTTCACACAGGACGAGAAGAGGCCGGATGGAGCACACGGCACTTGGCTGGAAACGACTGCGAGCCTGGCGGCGGCTGAAGCCCTAGCCCGGCACTCAGCCACGCCACTCACCGCCTGCTCTCCCCAAGGCAGACTGAAACGTGCCTTTTGGAAATGGCTGAGGCCCAGAGGGAGGGTGTGAGGGCTTTCCAGCTGACCCTAATGTTCCCTCTTTGGGGGAACTTTCTGCTCTCTCCTCACGGGCCGCCGGGGTGGGACTGTGTAGCAACGCCCCGTCTTCTCTGAGTGGTGGTTCTGGATTGGTGGTGAGCACGTGGCAAGGTACCATGCGCCAAGGCGCCACTTCTCTGCCTCGACCTGCATCTCGAGGGTGTGGCCACGGTCTGTTACTCGCAACTGAAGAAGCTGTGGCCATTTTAAGATGAGTCCTGCCTGCACGGTGCTAAGGGAACATATTTCAATGACTTGCAGACACATTTGCCTCCTCCCTCTTCAACTCAAAAAGTAAATATTTGGATATTTTTATGTCTAGTGAGGGATTTCTATGTAAAGAAAACCATGAAAACAACTCATTATAGAATTGGACATAGAGTCTATTTTAAAAAACATTAGTCTATTAAAAGATTTTAGTTATTGCTACCAATATTGCTAAATATATAAATGTATTATATAATAATGATTGCATATACTATTTTGAAACATCTGATTTTATATTTCTTAGTGGTTATAATTCTAACACAGGTACTTAGAACTTACATATCGAATAAATTATAAAACTGTTTCAAAGAGGGTAAGACACTCACTCAAAGAATTCAGAAATGTTTAATTTTCTTTGTCACTGTGAATATTTTAAATTGATTTCAGCACTGTGTACCAATTAAGAAAATCTTTTGATTAGCCATAGGGCAGTTTGATCTGGAATTGGAGTCTTAGGATACATATCTATGATTATAAGATAAAACAAAACTGCAAGACTCAACTCAATTGGACTACGTTAAAAAGATAATAATCACTTCACTATCACCTACTGAAGAACGCTTTCTATCACCGATTTAAGTAATTTTGTATTCAAATGTAGATGAAGTAGTTATTATAATTCATAGATATATATAAATGTCACTCAGGAGATTAATGGATTCAAAAAGCAGTAAGCACTATTGTGAATCGTGTTCTGCGTACAATTACTCAAAAGATAACTTTTAAAACTCAGTGGCAATCAACATATACGGACTACTTAGTGAGAGGTTCAAAAGGATCACAGGTCTCCATAGCTCACGGCACAGAGATTTCTTTCTATATATTGCATGAGACTTCACATATCCATAATGAAATAAAGAGGATGCCTGGAATAAATTACTTTTTAATTATTCAGAACAATTGTGGGACTTATTATAAATAAATGACAGGATAAATGACACAGAAGGTCATCCACACAGTTCCCTTTATTATTAAGCCAGTTTAAATTCATAACAGATGTTGAAATTCTTCTGGATTCCATCATATATCGAATCCTACCACTAGGCATGAAGAGTAACTGCCTCATTCTGAGGGGAAGAGAGCACATTAACATTTCCACACTAAGAGAGTTCTATCTCCCGAGGAAAAGTAATTTAGAAAATGCTCCCCTAATGACTAAAAAAATTAACTCTTTATGGCCTTGATGCCTGGCAGCCTTGCATAGCCTAATACACAATAATCCTTTATGAATAACCTGTAATTTAAAAGCAAAAGAAAAACTCCATGCAAACCAATACATATAGTTAATCTGAACACATGAAGCCAGCAGGGTCATGGAACGCATTAGAAATGGCAGACAAGGTGGCCAGCCGCACGGTGTGAACTCTGGTGGGATTTGGAACATGTGAATACAGCTCCTCACCTCACAGGTGAAGCCCTTGGCCGAGACCTCACACCACAACAGTGGTGCATTTTCATCCGGTAAGGTGTACTTTTTTCCACGTGTGCTATGTAATACCTATTTTATCGATTGCTAGTTGAGCTGATATATTTCAGAGATATATTCAAGTTTATAACATGAAAGAATGATCACTATCGAAGACTATGTGTCTTTGGAAATTAAGTCTCAATAGTAATTCCCATAGTAATTCCTTGTTTAGTACAGTATAATGCCATTATCATTCATTCAAGAGATGTACATTCTCTTACATGGTATTTTGAAAAGATCTTCCCAAAATAAGAAGTCACATCAATGAAGTACTAATATTAGGAAAATCTCCAAAATCCTTTCACTTTAGGAGAATTAGCCTGCCAGTGTCCATGACACGAAATTGACCACCCTGTCTGGTCTTTTATTGTCAAGTTCTCTTGACTCCCAAATAGGGCTCAAGGCAGAGCAAACTCGTCTGGCTCTCCCATGAACACCGGCCGGGGAATGGCACGACCCTGCTTCCGCACACCTGCCCCACCAAAGCACGACCTCGTCAGGATCCACCGTCATTGTCACCCGGGAGGCCAACGCCTGCCAGCGACTGGGACCGAGTGCAGCTCCACGGCTCTGAGGAACACGGCCACATGCTGGTGACAAACACATACTTCCCCTTACTGTGCCAGGACCAACCTGAGAGACTGCCACTCCTCTCTGAGCTGTTGTGGGAGCTGGTGGTGCTGAAATCCTGAGACTGGTTGTGTGGCATTCTATTGGACAGGCCCTCGGCCAGTCGGTAGTCAGGGATGTAAAGCAAGGCTGAGGGTTAAAGGGCAGAGGTCATAGTGGCACATGTGGTCAGTTCACAGCACAAGCCCATGCAGCACATGCAGTTAGCGATCAGAAGCGGATGTCGTGGAGGTGGAGGGATGCCGTGGGTGTCCCGCCCTGATGGCGGAGGGATGGCTGCTCGTTGCGAGCAAGAGGATGGAACCGACAGGCGCTGGTGCTGGTGGTGGCGGCGGAGGGGGTGGGAGGAATGGCTCGAGTCACTGAACACATGCCGGCGTGTGCCGGGACGGCGGCGACCCTGCTCACGGGCCACCCAGAGGAGTCACGAGACTACTCTCTAGGTCATGCACACGAGTGTGGACACGGCCCGGCGGGCCTGACTCACCGTTGTTGCCCTTGCCCTGGTCGGGCAGCGAGTAGCCAAAGCCCATGAGGTCGGTCTTCTGCTGGACGGAGCTCTTCCACTGCGGGTCGGGCAGGTCCACGGCCAGCTCGTGGATGCTGCTGGAGTGCAGGAGCTGCGTGGTGGCATACGGCGTGGCCTGCGTGATCTGGCTGGAGCTGTTGTAGGTGGTCTTGGTGGTGAAGTCGATGCTGCTGTAGATGGCCCCTTCGGACAGCATGGTGGCACTCTTGTCCCCCTGGCCTGGGACGGGCGGCAGCACGTCTGTGGGGACACGGGGACACGGAAGCGTTTCAGGAGGCACTGGGAGCCCAGGAGCCTTCACGGTGAAGATGAAAGTCAAGTGCATCAGGCCACGCGTCTGCGTGTCGGCCGCAGAGGCCTGCCCGGATCCCCCGTTCTTTCTCTGCAGTCGTACCTTGCTGCTGTCTGACCCGACTTCTTAGCTCCAGAAACGGAGGATAACTGATGGCCGAAAACGGGCTCTTTTTATGGATAACAAAGAGAAATTTTCATGAATAAGTCATTTCCACAATGTAGCAGGATTTAGCTACGGAAGAGGCAATCTCAGTGATCAGGGCTTTAATTTATGCTATTGGCGCTTAGAACCAGAGAACTGCAGCTTCACGTGGTCCTACAGCATGAGTAAAATTAAACTTAGAAGCCGCATGAATCTCAATCAGGCCATCCATCACCTTGGCTCGCTGAGTCCTCTCGACATGATGCTTTCTAATTCAGAACCGCCACCTCTCTCCCGAGCTCCTATGCTCCCCTTTTGGAAGGAAGATGCTAAGTAAATCTAAAAGAGAAATCACTAAATAACAGGATTTTAATCGGGTCGAGCTAAAAGGAATCTAATGCGGTGTACTCCTTAAGATGCATGTCCTGAAAGTGTCACTTGACAGGGCATGCGGTCGGCAAGCCACTCAACTTCTACGTCATAGAAAATTTTCAACTCTCCTAAAATCTTTAGACGAGAAGGTACCCAATGGAACGTGAAATAAAAATTCCTATGGAAATATTAGTTTTGCTTTTGCCTTTTGCAAAAGCTAAAAACTGTCTTCTTAGGCAACAGTAACGAGAAATGCATCCTGTATTTTTTTACACTGTACAATGTAAGCCTTCCTGAAGGTTTTGAAGTTTGGAATTCTAGCTCATCTTACAATTGAGTGCATATAGAGTTTATTGAGGTGACGACCTTAAATGTATCAGCAAGCAAATTGTTTCAGAACTTCAGAATTTTGAATTTCACAACTACTTGTTCCTCTGGCTTTTAGAGAGAAACTAACTACAGAATTTGATATGAAACATATCTCATTCTCAAGGGCTAGTACTTTTATTTTCAAAATGGCTGTCATATAGTAGAGCAGAAGTAGGGAAAATAGGCCCTTCCCTCTGGGTCGGCTTCCGGACTTTTGCTTCTGCCGCCTCCAGTGTATCTTTCGCTGATGAAAGTCAACTGAGGGAAACGCAGTTCTCCGCCTTGGGCACCAGGGCACAACCTCAAACTCGGGCTTCCCCAAAGCTTTAGATGTGGGCTCTAAACCATTTCAGCTGTAGGCGCTTGGCACAGTTGTGTGCTCAAAAGACAGCAAATGAAGAAAAGCAGTCCAGTGATCTAGTCCTGCGCAGCATCGCTCCACAACCACCAACACCACGGCTCCGATGACTGCCCCCCCCGCCAGATGGAACTGCACAGTCTTCAAGTCCAGGTGCTTCTCTATTGATCGGGGGCTGCATGGTGCCTTCAAATACAATCTGATCGTGCCTACATTTTCAAAAAAATAAACTGAATTCTACGCTAACACTGACATTTTGACATGGGCTCCATGAGTACTTGGACATGGAGGAGGGTCCCATGACCAGTGCCACCCCAGCGGGCGGGCCACAGCAGGTGCTGCCTTTTCCAGGCAGGCCGCTCCCTTTCCTCCCCCACCGGCCTCACCGACCAGCCCTGGTGCTCCAAGCTGCCAGACTGCGTGCCAGCGTCTGTTTGAAACCTGTGGATTCTACAGACAATTCCCTTCAGACGGGTCGGTGATGCCTTCAGCACCTGGTGACACTTGCACTCGGGCACTCGCTTCCTGGCCCCGACACAACCACTGCGTGAGTGGCCACCTCTTCTGCCACGTTGTGAGCTACTTGGGGATAGGAGCCTAAGAGATTTCTGTCTGCATTTCCATCACACTTCACCCGGTGTTTTGAAGCGAGTATGCACTTGCTGATTTGTAGAGTTAAATGAAGTTTCTTCAGCTGCTTGCTTTAACGGAATGCAGGTATGTGTAATAATTAGTAACCTCATGATCCCAAATACTACTTCACCGCATTCGAACATGCACCGGCATTCCATTCTCCAGGTAGCCTGCCAGCGTCGACTGCTACTCTCCTAAGTGAACGTGTGACTTGGGCACACATGTGACTCTGCCTACAGAGCACAGAGCACTGCTTCCTCCACCCAGGTCCCGAGGCATCTATCTCGGGAAACCTCAGCTTCTTGTCCCTTAAAATGGAAAGATGATTATCTATGCCACACATCGTCATGCAAAAGAAACAAATTAAAATGGACCAAAAACCCTAGCAGTATTTCTGGCACATGGTACATGCTTAAAATGCCTATCGCGTGATAAGAGATCCAGCAGACTGACAAAACCTCCTCTTGGCCTTGATGTACATCTGTGAAATATTTAATGTCAAAAAAATGAGGTAGAAATGGAAAAAAAAAGATCTTGCAAATCTACAAACGTCCCCTTTGGTTAAATTGGACCAAGACATTTGAGATGTAAATTTAGCCTACTAGAAACCAAACCAAGCCAAACAAAAGATCTTCTCCATTGTTAAGCATTTATTTCTTGATCTGCTGGTAGAATGATTATTATTTCAATGAAAATGCAACAAATAACAGAGGCATGCCTTGACTGATCAAAGCTCTGGGAACAGAATTTCCTGTGACAAAGCCAAGGGCATTCTGCCCTCCTGGTGAGGAGGGGCTCAGTATAGAACTGCCCACAATAGAGCGACAGCCTGCAACTGCTCAGTGTGGTCGTCGCGGGGAGGCAGCTGCCACCAGCTTCTGGGCACGTGGGAACCGTAGGGGAAGCTTGCAAGTCAAGGAGGGGAGGAGTCACTGCTCACTGTCTGCTCCTTTCTGCCTCCAGTGATGCCCACGGGGCACTGCGGCATGCCACCCCCTGTGCTGACCCTCTGCATACCGCCCTCCGTGTCACCCTCACCGCACACTTAGAAGGCAGGAGGGCTGTGTTCTGTACTGCATATGGAAGAGGGAGGGGAGTCCCCTTCTCAGAGTTGATGCTGACAAAACGAGATGTATGCAATGATAGTAAGTCTATTATTTTAAAAACTACCTTCACGTAGCCCAACGTATCGGCAATTCGCTCTTACAGAGAAAGCGCCAAGATGCTTCCCAGGACACACACATGGAAGCCCGGCCAGCTAGTCTCAAGGGAGTGAAGCACCGCCCTGGGTCTCCCGCACGGACTCCGGGGGGCAAACACTCCCAGGGGTCTTGGGCTTCGCCTGGATCGCAGCGCTCTGCTCGTTTGTCACTCCAGCTCTCTCCTCCTGCTCCACCCCCAGCCCGGCAGCAGGCCGATGACTTCACAGCCCTTGGACTTAGTATGCTCCTCTCAAAAACCCATGCTGGCTTCTGGCCACCCTCTCCACCGAGTTTAAGCTTTCCATGTGGCTTGGAACATGCTCTGTGCTGTCTGCGTTTCTCGCCGCTCTGCTGCCTTGCACATTAGGCCCCAGTCGTTCGCTTCTCAGAGAGGCCAACGTCTCTTTCGTTTCTGGACCTTAAAACAGGACAACTTCTTTTCCACACACCCGTCTTGTGCTTTTGACTCCTTCCTAACCTCCCCTCAGGTCACAGCTCAAACGACACTCCCTTCATTGAACGTTCTTCCTCCCTGTCCCATGTGGGTACAGCAAGTTGGCTCAAGTCTCTTTACTATTTGCACAATCCTACACCAACAGAAACGTAAACCCACCGAGCCAGATGCTGAGATCAGAGGATTCTCAATCCTGCCCAAAGCTTGGTCTTCCTCCAAATCCAGCTCTCTTCCACTAACTGGATGAAAAGGTGAAGTCGGGGGGGGCGTGGTAATACAGTCGGTTACGCACACCTCCTTATGAAAACATGTGGAGGGGACTCTGGCACTAAACTTCGAAGGCTTCAGCATGTCAGCTACTTAGCACCTTTCTGTCTTTCATTTTCTCTCTCTCAACATGCTGTCATAGTGACTTAACTACCGCTCACATGACATATTACAAGGGGAAAGAACCATCTCTGTTTATATCAATATCAGGCTCTTACTGTCTGCCACAGTGCTGAGTACACAGGAGGTGCTCAGTACGTTCATGTTGAATGACATTTAGAGAAGTGACACGTCCAGTCCTAAGTTATGCATAGCAGCAAGGATTGATTCTGTCTTTAGTCCTCTTGGGCTGATTCCTGAGAATAAATGTATTATGAATATGTATCTTCTTGGGTAGAATGACTTCCTCAAAAGCTTGGTCATAGAGACACAATAGTTTTATATTAAAATATTCAGCAAGGGAGCAGCACTGTTTGTGCATGTGCTTCATTCGTTTTTTTTTTTCCCGAGAAAGCAGGATTTATTGACAGTATAGAAAAGCTCCCAAAGCAGGCGGGGACCTGAGGGGGCTGTCCACTTCATTAATTTTAATTATGGAAGAAAATACTCTCTGATATCTCTTTTAAAAAACTCTAGGCAAGTCAAAAAGCAAACAAACAAACAGAATTATTTTGAAACTCACAAGTTCTCCTTCCCCCACCTTGGGAAGGTGAATTCTCTCTCTCTCTTCCTCTCTCTCTCTCTCTCTCTCCCTCCCCCCCACCTTACTTTTAAATAAACTGTATTTTCTAATCTAAAAAAAGAAAATCACAAGTTACCTCCACGGCCGAAGTTTCCAATCTCATTCGGACCACTGTTGCTGTTGTTGACTGGCAAGCTTGTGGCCGGCCACGAGTCAGCAAGCCATGGGTAGCTGGGATCACTGGCATTCAGAAGTCCCGGACGGCTGGAGAAGGGATGACAGGGCATCAGCCTCGGAGCTCAACACAAGGTTCTGCCACCTGGCTCATGCACTGCACAGGGTCAAGCCACTGAAGGCTTTCATCGACTTCAAATTGCAATGTGTGGGCTCCCGAGAACAAGGGCATTCGGCGGCTTGTTAGGATTCCAGCCCTCACAGCAGTCACAGAGTCCTGGCCTGGGATGCCAACAACATCCACAGGGATCCAGGGGTCTGCCCTGGAACTGGCGGGACCCTGTGACACAGCAGGATCCCGACACATTGGCTTGATGACACGTTGGCGAGTCAAGTGAGCAACTGCACAGGGTGACTGCTCAGTGTCTGCCGTTTCCAGGACGGGGGCTCTCCCCTCCTGAGCCCCGTAGTCCCTCCGGGCCGTAACCCTTGTCCTGAGTCCTCGCTCAAGCTGACTTGGAGGCGAGGAGCTTGAGGGAAATGGATGGACGGCACTTACACGGCTGCATCAGTAGCTCGCTTCCAAGTTCTCTAAACTGCAAACTATCAAGGGCATCCTCAGGGTTGTTTTTTTTGTTGTTTTTTTTTTAAGGTAATAAAAGAGGCACTGAGATCTGATCCAGCCTGCGGGTATAGTCTACGGGGGAACCATCCTCACATCATGTTTAATGAAGAACTCCCTTCCTTAATATAAAAGATGGGAGCCTGATTCCTTTCCAGATTACTAGCATATTTACAAAGAAATGGAACATCTATAATCATTACGCTTTTTTTTATAGACCCCTTCTGGTACAATCCCTAAGAGAAACATGCGTTTCCATGGAAACTGCAATAAGAAGATCCCACTGCTTTCTTGCTACATCCACTAACTCTCATTAGACTTAATCTCTTTTTGCTAAAATATTGATTAAATGGGAGATTGGAAGTTATTACCAGGGCCTAATTACAATCTCCATATTGGCAAAGGGAAAATAGATGAGGATATATGAGTTTGTTATCAGCTTTTATCAATTTCAATTGAGTATCCAAAGTTGTGGAATCCAGTCCTATCAATCTACAGCCTATTCATCATCCATGAATCATTTACTTTGTGATCGATTATATGTAATTGTTCACTCACAGCAATTTAGTGAGAGCCAATAAGGAGTCTTAAACAACAGCAACTCCATTTGCTAATGTCTAATTAATGCAATAAACATCCTACTAACAAATGAACACATTCCTTGTGATATTTACTACTAATTTCTTCAGGGGCATCTGGGAGATATGAAACATCTGGACTTGATTCCTCTAAAGTGCACAACAGATAGATCATTAAACCTTGTGGTAAGCCATTTAATTCCTCCTAGAATTCTCAGACTTATAAGTGATCGTTTATTACAATAATAGCCTCTTACTATGGAGTTTCCCAGCCCTGATTAAAAACAATAATAAAAAAGAATCTCCTTAGCATACCTTCCATTGCTCATAAGTCCTCCATCCCCTCTTTGAAATGTCACTGTAAAAAAAAGACACACACACACAAGTAGTCAATATTAATTACGATTAATAACAACTACATATTGGCCCTCAGTTTAGTGCGGAGGCCTCTGGGAATTTTAACAAAATATAATTAACATAATTGTGCAGAGAGTAACAAGCAGTGGTTTGGCCTAAGGCAAAGTCATCGTTTGCTCCAATCTTAACAGGACATTTCAAAATTCTGCAAGCCAAATACATGGGTAGGTTTGAGCAGCAATTTGTATTTAGTTGTCAAGCACTGGGACAATCAGTATATACGGTGGTGTCAAAAGAGCAACACATTGTTCATGAGATTTTGCAAATCAAGACTTCTAATCGTAAAACAAAGGTGTCCTAATTAGAAGGCATAGGAGAAAACACTCATAATAGAAATTGAAACAGGATACATCCTTCCAATGAAACAAGACAAATACTTATTGACTTTGTTGATATTTTTCACCAAACAAGCCCTTTTCTGGATTCTTCCAGGCACTATGAGTTGAGCACTTATAGTGAAAATAGACAGGAACTACAATTCATAGAGAATAACATGCTCACAAAACTGAAAGCTTCCAGTAACTGATGCTGAAGATATTCCAGTGCACATAGTGATGGTCAAGCTGGAATCCTCCATAAACTGTGGCGCTTGTCAGCAACAAACCCCAAAAGCAACCCGCAGAGCCACAGCCATGAGGTCCTACCCTCCTTCCACAAAGCCAGAATCATGGACATGGGGGTTAAGAATTTGAAAGGTGCTCGCAGACAGTGTCAGCATCAGTTCAGGTCTACCACCTCTTGTCCAAAGTCTTGCAGTCAGTGTATTTGGACTCAGAATGATGCAGATCCGAGAAAGATCATACACTTCACATGCTACAAACAGGGTCTGAGGCCACCAACGCTATTCAAAGTTATTAACTTTTCCACAGAGGAAAGTGAATATCTACAAATGAGTGTGATAAAGTCTATAAATAGCTTTTTAATTTGAATCAAATTTTGCCACGAAATTACTTACCTAGAAAATTATTTTTTGTTGTTTTTTTTTTTTTTTTTTTTTTTTTTGAGTTGGAGTCTCACTCGGTCACCCAGACTGGAGTGCAGTGGCCGCTCCCGGCCACTGCAGCCTCGACCTGCTGTGCTCTGGCGATCCTTCCACCTCAGCCATCTGAGTAGCCAGAATTACAGGCACGCACAACCACGCCCGGCTGATTTTTTGATTTATTGTAGAGATGAGGTCTTGCTGCCTAGGCGGGCCTTGAACCCACGGGCTCAGGCAATCCACTCACCTCAGCCTCCCAAAGGCACGGGATTACAGGCTGAGACACTGAGCCCGGCTTAGGAAATTATTTTTAAAAGAAAATTGATGTTTAAAAGTGTATAGATTGCAAAATTGAAATAAACTTGCATTTCTGACCAAAATCAATGTGAATTGGTCAAAATATCACTGGGGATAAAGGAAGAAAATACCAATTTCACAGCTTATGAAATACCCTATCTTTAAAAAACATTCATTATATTTACTATATATTCACTACGTTTTTTTCAACTTGGTGAATATAAGTGAAAATAAATGAAATTTTAGTTAAATGAATCACATTTCTAGTAAACAGATGATATACTGCTATTTAAAGTATACATGCAGCAAATACTTTTTAACTTTAATAACCCTGTGATTCATCTGTTCCTCAAGTTTGGGTTATCAAATATGACCATTTTTTAAAAATGCAGTTCCCAGTCTCTCTTCGGGGTCACCTAATATTATCTCTCATGTATCTCAGTCATCATTCCAAGTGTCTTCCTGAGACAGTGAGACACGCCAGGGCTTTCAGAGTCGTCTGGTCGGCACCTGAAATACACTGCTCAGTTGGTTTTACCATGACACCCCCAGTGCGTTGTACAACAGTCACGACAGACTCCGTGTCTGCCGAGGACTGGCTGAGGACCTGTGCCTGGAGGAGCAGACGGAACAGAGATCGCCAAGGACTCACTTCCGTGTGGGCATCAGGGCTCTGCCACGCACCTCTCCACACGGCATGCCCCCTTCATGACGGCTTTTAGCAAAAAGGAATGAATCTGGCAGTTAATGCCGGAGCTGTAAAGGGAACGTCTGACTGGGACACACACCGCATGACCACAGTGCAGCTGTTTAGCTTTCCGCCTGAGGTGCCTTCTCGTGACGGGGCTCTTCTAACCAACCAGCAAAGAGTTGTTTCACTCTGTTGGAAGTGTCTAGACAGTGCCATGGCTGTCCTCGTGACTATGAGCTACACCATATGAGTAAGTGAGACGAGCTACACCAGAATGAGTTGTTTAGGAGACACGCAGGAAGCCAGGGAGTCCCCTTCACTTGGAGACATGCGGGAAGCCAGGAGAGTCCCCTCACCTAGATGCTCTTTTGTCCCATCTGAACTCCCTGTGCCTGCCAGAGTAGCAGGCAGCATCAGAGGAAGGCAGCTGGGCAGAGGCGCAAACACGGAGATGTGCTCCGTGTTGACACACTGATAGACAGCAAATTCTCCATGGGACGTGCCGTCTCCAGTACGATCACGCAGCACCCAGAGCCCTCTCAGAAATGTATCCTGTACTAAAGTGAATTTGCAGACGTGGTGGAGTATGAACTATGGCAGGTATGGGCCGTGTCTGGCAATCGAGAAGGCTGCGAGCAACATAAATTGCGAAGGGTTTCGTTATGAAGCATTCAGGACACGTCCGTTTTCCATCTGTGTTCCAGTCATCATTGAAATGTTTTTCGAAAGGTTCTAGACTGCTACTAGGTTGTCAAAATAGTCTATAAAGACATTCATCTCTGTAGCTCTGCATACAAACTACACAGAGGCAAAATGACATTATGTAAACATTGGAGTAACGTAAAATGGTTCACAAAAAATTTGGTCTATATAATGAGAATTTTCCATTTTGTATTTTTCTGTCAGAACTCAAAAAAGAAACAAAACAAAAAAACCACCCCAAAAATGTATCCTAATAGGGTTCTATAGTTGTGTTTTTAAAGCAAGGGAAAAAAGGGGAAAACACATTTTCAAGTGTTTTCTTTTATCCTATGTTCCAAAACTTTTAGATCTGCTCTATTTTGAAAAGTAGACCAAAAGTAAAAGTGAATTCTATTAGACTATGAGTTTACAGCAGACTACAAATAAGGTTGAACAATTAAAATTCCTAAATTGGAAATCATATCTGGTGTTTTGATCAGCATTTTTCTGTGAACAGAGAGAGGAACATAAAAATAAACACCACAGCACACGGAGAGCTATTTTGAGGTGGTTCTCGTTTCAAAGAAGGGTTTGCCTTGAAGCTGAAAGAAGGCTGGGGTGGTCAGACAATCTTGTTCTTGTTGCCATTTTGATAACCACAGAGTACAGAGGTGCCTTTGGAAGAACTGAATCCGGATCAGGAAACTCTGCTAGCATCTAAAATTAAGAATTCTCAAGAAGTATGCACAGGGGTTTTGAGCTACACTGACCGAAATGGTGTCGAGGTTCCCAGGAAGTGTTGCAAACACTACAATCGAAGATGTTTTAAGAATGGCCTGAAATATTCTGAATTTATTGCAATTTTTATAATGGCTGTAAGGGAAGGAGATTTTGCAAGGTTATATCATACCCAAAGTCCCTCTAATATTACCCGGCAGGATTAATCCTAATCTCATGCCTGCTGGAGCTGGGGTCGAGGGGAGGGAAACAAAGCCATATGGGGAATTGACATTTTGAGGCCAGGAGGCTCCCAAGCCCCTATCTCCAGTCGGTCACATTTTCCTCCTTCAAATGGAAACTTTAATGTGGCAGCGAAACTCATTCCCTTTCCTGATAAGCTGTTGCTCAAATATGGATGTAGATTAATCCTCCTTTAATAAGCATTAACTCAGCCCCGATAATCGGAGTATGGAAAGCCCATCAACTCTTTTGGCTGCCTTTGGAGAGTTTGCCCCATAGTTTATATTTCACCGACGGTTTCAACATGTGTGTGTGAAGTGCTCAGGATTTCCTAACTTGCTCACTCCTATCAGGCTGTTTACACCGACGGAGCCTCGTAAAACCTGCTGTCCAAGGCGTGGCCACCTATTAGGCATGGACGCTGTGAGAGGCTTCTCGCTAGCACAGCCCGCTTCCACAACCTGTGAAGGGCATTGCGCCTTCCGGCGGGCCGTTCTGCTTCAAGCAGGTGGGACTCAGTCACCATGAGAAATGGCCATAGGAGGTCCCTGTTCTCAGCAACCTCAAAGACCAGCAGGTATTTTCAAATTAAGTGCACAGATTTTGCAAAGGGCTGCTGCTAAAGGAAAAGAAGTCTGTCTGGTATAATTATACCCAAAATGCAAACTTACTATGAGGGAGCCTGTGTTTACAAGGAGTGAGTGGATGCAGAAATTTGAGGATAACAAGGCAACATTCCCAACGTGGATGCCTCAGGCTTTGCACTGAGGTGACTTCACAGCCCCGCCCCCCCGCCTTTGTTATTACCACTGGACCGCGGGACTCAAGTGAGAGGATACACACGAGACAGTCCTTCGATGACACCCGCTGTTCCTTGTGTTCTGGATGACAAACGAGTGTCACGGGGAGGCATTTAGCACGGTGGCTGGTCACGCAGATGGACTCGTGAACAGCGCCTTCAGTGATGAAGGGGACGGCTGGACAGTGTCACAGCCATTTGTGTTGGAGACTCCGGCACTAGCAGTTGCTGCTGGCACCCCTCCTGTGACTCGAGAGCACTTGGATGACAAAGCGTGAGGACAGAGCCAGCAGCCAACGAGAGGTGGGGATGGCAGTGATGTGTGTTACTAAGCATGGAAGCCCTGGTGGATGATGCACTGTGCTCCTTCCTCTATCTTGGACACTTATTCTAACCTACGGCTGGTAAGATTCAGCTCCATAAGATGGAGACATGTACTCCTCCTGCATTTCGTGCCATCTTGCTGTTGTCAGCAGTGTAGAAGCCTACAAGCTTCCTAACAAGTACCTCTAAGAGTATCCCCAATGAGCTCCCCTACAAGTACCCCTACAAGCTATCCTATAAACTACCCAAGAAGCTCCCCTGCCAGCTACCCAATGAGCTCCCCTACGACGTTGCAGTCACTGAGAACTGAACAAGCAGTGACGTCTCTGTGGCATCATTTGTGCAGATGCGCGGCTTCCACCAAAGTCAACTCTAGTGTGGAAGACTGAATTTGACATCCCAGAAACTGCGAAGATGTTTGTAGGATGATGGTCAATTAGAATTGCTCCCTTCCAAGTTCTAGAAAGTGTGAACAGTCACAAGAGGATTTATTTTTGTCGTTTTGGGGGGAAATCGTTAAATAAATTGCAATCAAAATTGTAATTGAGCTTAGCTTCGGCATTGAGTTCATTCTCTCAGTCATTGACTTTACAATTTTTTTCTCTCTCTCTCTCTGTCTTTCTCTCTGTGTGTCTCTCTATCTGTCCTTTCTGCCTTGGAGATATTTTGATGGCCACAGTTCCTGACACCCTTGAAACTCTGTCTTGGCTTCTAAGAAACAAACATTTTGCAAATACATAGACCAGTTGGAGTCTTCCTTCTTGTCTTCTGCTTCAGCTTCTTTCCTCACCTCGTCCTCCTTTTGCTTTCTTTTGAAATGCTGCTTGTTCACATTGGAATAAGACATCCCATTTAAGCAAAGCGTGAACCACTGCATTTGTGCCTCGTTGGCCTTGTGAATTCTGGTGCGATTTTTGTCGTTTGTATTTTCCTTCTGGGTTATTCCCTACTGCAATCTGTATCCTGGCGAACTAAGGGCAATACTTCAAATTGTGTCTTCTTTCCAGAGCATTTCATGAATGCTCCTGACTAAATCTACTTCTCCAATAATGGCATCATCGCGTGCAGTCAGTGCATGTGTGTTTGCGTGTATGTGCATGCATATACACGAGTGTGCATGCATACAGTTTGAAAGACGCAGTTGAGAGACAGGAAAACTGCGGGGTGGCTTTGAAGGGGTGCGACCCAGAGCAATACAGTAAAGCGTGTCGTTTATAACTGCATGTTACAGCGCAGGCTTCTAAAACAAGCCCCGTCACTCGCTCGCCATTCCTTACCAAGTGCCGCCCCCCACCTTCCATTACACTCCCAGAGATCAGAGGCGTCCCGGCGGCCGGAGAGTCTCTCACCAGCATAGTTACTAAGGCCCTTTCTCTTCTTTCTCCGCCAGTACAGCCAGATGCTGAAGCCCATCAGGATCACCCAGCAGGCCCCGCCGATGCCGGCGATGAAGGCCGGCTGCTTCACCACGTCGCTGATCTGCTCGGTGATGCTGTTGTTGTTTTCGGTGATGACAACCTCGTTGCGTCTCCCTGCGGAGGAAACAGCAGTGTCAGTCAGCAGCCCGGCAAAACGGAACACAGGCGCGCCACCGAGGCGCTGAGAGTCTTCTGAAGGCAGGCACTGCTTGGTTTCGCTCTGAGCCTGTCACCATTGTGGATAAGCGTATTTTACAATTTTCAAAAGAAGACCCACCTCAGGAGTTTGAAGGCGTGATTAAGAAGACCGCTCTCTCGTGTTTTGGTTTGCAATGAACAGACTCAGAAACACTTATTGACGTGCTATCTTGTAAATTCACCCTAAAGCAAAGACTAAGAGTTGAAATAATAGCAACTTATCTTGAACTAACATTTAGCTCTGGGTATTTGCAAACTGCACTTCTGCAAAGGTACTGCTCACATACAAACTCCCACAACTCACAAGAACATATCCTGTAACATTGCCCTTAAAAGTCTTCCAACGAACTTATTTCGATTAGCTATCCTTTGCTTTTCTGGAAGTTAATAAAAGTTATGTAAAGTAGCGACAATTATGCAAACATACTTTCATGGAGATCAGTATGCATACTTAAAATGTCATAAAAGATAAAATTCATGTATCCCCTTAAAGTATTTGAAACTGATTTGAAAATCCACTTGAAAATTGAATATAAAGAATAACTTTAAAATTAATTCTAAGATCTACCTTTAAATCTGGACTAAGATTATTCTTAGAAGTGGTCATGTTTTTACGATGTAGACCTCGCAGAGATAATTAAGAGAGTCTCGACCTACATGTTAAATAGGTTTTAAACTCATGGAGTCACATCACTGAAGAACAAAGATTTAGGTGCTTGTTTAGTAGATTAAGAAATCTAGACACTGGAAATTAAGTTATTTCTAATGTTACTATCATGTCTTGTGAGTGACCGATCCAAGACTTTTAACAGGTAAATTGTAACCAAAACATAAATGACACAGTTCAGAATATCCCATCAAAAGAACGGGCGGGATTTTCACGGATGTAGTCCTCACGGCACTGTACTATATTAGAAAGAGCCCTGGATTTGAACACCACCTCTGCCACGTGGTAGCTGAGTAAGCAGTCAGTTTATGTGGGCACATCATCTTCTTGGTCACTGTTTCTGTTAACTGGCAATAGTACTGTCTTCTCCACATATTTTGGGAGAGTTTAGGGGATCTACAAAAAGAGGCTAATGTGAACACGGTAGTTTTTGACTCAAAACCATGACCCATGTCAGTCTTAGGGCTGCTTGAAGAGCTTCTTGATCAACTTCAGTGACACAAGCGGTAAATACCCAGGCTTAAGGATTCTACAAACCACAGGCATCTTGTTTACCATGCTGCTGTTCCTTTCTTCCAAGCAGAAAATTAGCTTACATTTTCCAGCCTCTCTTACAGTTGAGAGAAACAGAATGACTGGGAATTAGACAACTGCAAATAGGCACATGTGTGGCACATGCACGTCAGGGCTTGACCCGATGACTGCTGAGATCACAGTTGACACTGTCTTTCCTCTAGAAATAGGAGATCTACTGGGGGATGCTGAGACCCTAAGACACGGCAGAGTTGTTCTGTGGAAGAACCTGAGGTCCCCGAGTGAAGCAGAAACCCCACGCCCCATTCTGCTGACCTGTATGAGACTGAGCTATGAATCAGAAAGAAACTGACATTGATAATCTTATCAAAATGCAGACTTGTTTGTTAAAGCTGCTATAACGTATTCATACTTATGTTCCATGCTTGAAAGGCATTTGCATTAAATTCCAGATTTAAAACCCTGGTTCGTTTGCCCTCAATTATTAAGTATGTAAACACAGTCAAAATTCTATTGAAAATGAGCTCTTCTTTTCAATATAAGTCATGCAGCTACCTGGTGACTTTCTGAACTACTGATGTTCCTAAAAAGAAAAAAAATGACTTTACAGAATAAAGAGAAAAGAAAACTGGTCTTTCATTTCTGTAAACGGTCCATAAGATGTCATATTCAGTACGGTGTAGAATTTACGTTACCTAAGATGTATTGCTATTTTGACACCACTGGTATTTTTGAAAACATGTTGTCAGTTTGGCTAATTAAAACACAGATGAGGGCTGTGTGTGACCTGACCGCACTACTGTTCTAGCAGACAAAAAATATAATGAAATATCATGTCTTCCTCCCATTGGAGAGTAATGAAGAATAAAACTAATTTGTTGGACTAAAAATTAATTAGACACATCAGATTTGATTGTACCTATTCCTGTGAAAGTTTGCAGCTGTTCTACATATTATTACCAACTCTGTAACGTAAGCATGAATAGGCCAACTGACTAGAGCAACTGTAGCTGTGTCATTAAGCAAGACAGCTACAAAATTTAGTCCATGCAAACTGTGATGCACCACACTGTCTGGTGCCCACATATGTGAATGTATTTGGCTACATTTCTGTGTCTGTAAGTACAAAAGCATAGAACTCTGGACACTTTGGTATGAAGTCATCTTACCATAGGAAACCGCAGAGAAAAGAACACCAGCAGTTTTAAGACTGAGTGAGGCAGTGTGCTATATTTTTACAATATCTTAATTAATGGTGCCTTAATGGAACTTTCTGGAATGAAGACTCGACTGAGAAGAAACAGAGGCAACAATATATGGTCTGGCATAGAATGCATCTAAGATGACCAACTATAAATTACACCAAATGCCAATACATGATTTAATTAAAGCCAAGGGGAAATGGGGCAGAGCTTGAGCCACTTCAAGTGCTGCTTCAAGTACTGATTAGACAAAAGGGAGAGAAGAGATGGAAGCAGAACGAGATTAGCCACTGCTAAATCACCTTCCAACTAAGGAGCGGCAGTTGTGTAGATAAGGTTATCAGACAAGATGTGAAGGGAGATATGCAGGGGTAATTAAAGAAACAATTAGAAGCCTTCTCAGTACAACAGTAGATATCAAAAGGAAATACATCTCTGGAGAACAAATAGCCTCTTCTGGGTTGAACTGCGCTCACTCTGTGTGTATGTGTGTGCGTGTGCATGTGTATAATACATGGGGGCTCATTTCAATTTCTACAATTCCATCTTTTATGATTACATCTTCACTATTGCATATGGTAATCCTATTTGGATAAGAGATAGGAATATTATTTTTTACATCATTTTTTATTTCATAGAAAAATTGGAAAAACACTTGTTTGACACACTAAACAATAAATTAAAAGGTACTCATTCATGTGAAGACTTGGCTTTTTAAAAATGATAGGAGAGGTAAGTAAGACTTGATTTGATTTAAAGTAATTTAATTCAACTTTGTTATTTTAAGTGACTACACAGTTGCTCAGTGCATAACTGTGATTATCATGACACAAGCTTAGTTATATCCCATGATAGCAATATTTTTACTTCCCTACAAGTATAATACACCCCAAAATATTGTGCTGTTAACAGACAGTCACTAGGAAGGAAAAGAAAGAAAAAAGAAAACTTTTCCTTTCACGAGAAATATAGTTATTACTAAAGATAATATGAAAAAAACATGAAAGGGAAATATTTATTAATACTTATGTGGCAATCTCGCTTATCTCTGTAAGAAAAATTAAATCAGTCAATAATTTCATATATATGCTAGAGAGACAGTGAAAAACAAAGTTTGTATGCTTTATCTAGGACTCTCAAAAAAACTGTACCTTTAAAATATGTTTCATATGTAGCTTTTTTTTTTTTTTTTTGAGTTGGAGTCTCACTCTTTCACCCAGACTGGAGTGCAGTGGCCGCACAGCCTCGACCCGCTGGGCTCCAGCGAACCATCTGCCTCAGACTTCCGAGGAGCCGGAATTACAGGCATGTGCTACCACGCCTGGCTGATTTTTTTGATTTATTGTAGAGATGAGGTCTCACTGCCCAGGCGGGTCTCGAACCCGCGGGCTCAGGCAATCCACTCACCTCAGCCTCCTAAAAGCACGGGATTACAGGCTGAGCCACCGAGCCTGGCCCATATGTAGCTTTTTAAGTAAAAAAAAAAAAAATGGCTTATTTCTAAATACTATAAATGAAGTGTGCGTGTGTGCGTGTGTGTGTGTGTGTGTGTGTGTGTGTGTGTGTGTGATCCTTTGAGGTGTACCAGTATTTCTTTCTTATTCCAATTTATTTTAGAAAATCTCAGAAGGGCAAGATTTTAGGTTTCCCTCAGGTTAAGGAATTAATTCAGACTGAATGACTAATTAAGAAAGGGAAGGCAATTTAAAGAAAAGTCAGTCTTTAACTTTTTCTCTTCAATGCTTTTAAAATATAAAAGAAAGAAAACTCAGGGACTCTGAAAATCCTTAATGATATGATTGAATGTTAATCTTTCCATATACAGCAAATACTTCATAATATAAACAACAATCCAGAAGCTGGCAGTATACCTTATAAGCATCATTTCAGAAAGTAAACAGAAATAATGGAAATGGCTTGTATCAGACACTGGACAAATATTTTTAAAATATGTAAACTCTGGAAAGAAGATTTTTAAATACTTATTAAAAAAAACTCAAAGATATCTCTAAACACATAAAAGCAGGGGGACAGAAGAGGATTTGTCTCTTGGAAGAGGGCAGCTCTTGTTGAGGGAGTCTGCAGAAACAAGACTTCTCCCCTGGAGACTCTTCAAGGCAGGCTGTGCGAGGTGGTGGCACCACACAGAAAACCTCCATTTTGGGGTGTGGTGATGTCACAGTCTGGAGCTCAAGGCTGCTTGAGTGACTAAAGATTGAGGGCAGACCACATGAAAGGGGGTCAGCGAGCTTGAAGCTCCTAAACCTGAGTGTGACTTCCCTGTAAATCCTGGGGAGCTGTCCGTGCTCAGAGAAGACTGCCAGGATCTGGTGACAGGTGAAAGACAGAGGTGGAAGGCGAAGCAGGTGCCAACTCATGTCCACTGCAGAAACTGTGCTTGAAGCCTGGCTTTCATCAGGTTGGGGGAACAGATAAAGATAATAAGTTTCTCACTGTAAGCCCAGAAAAGAATCATGCCTTAAAAAAAAAAAAAATCACAGTAAGCCTTTGTC